ACATACCTTTATGAATTTTGTGTCTTGACTCCTTACTTTCAATCATTTGATCGTATTAAGAATTGAAGCTGACACATACAGCCTCGTTTTCAAATGCCGTAGTGCGCAGATCGACGCTGAAAGCGTTGTATTGGGATCCCTCTATTTCTTAATTTTTTGGCCAAACACCTTTGCCATTCCAAATTGAAAAAACCTCTTCAGAGTATTACAATTGTCGTTTTGTCTGATTCTTGGATACTAAATGAAGTCTCATGCTCAAAGGCCTGAGCTGTACACAGATGAGCTACTGTGATACCGCTAAACACCAGCGAGCATGTTTTTGTGGCCTGTCATAATCCTTGCTGTTAGGAGGCTGCAGTTAATTTTCCAAGTTCACCTTTCAAAAAAATTGTTTGCGGTTGCTGACGAAAAAATTATCAAATTGCATCCTCGGCTCAAACGCTGAACACGTAAATACTCTCAGCCAAAATGGCCCATGTACTCCTCAGGTGACGACATAATGAAAGAAACAATCTTACTTCACTAAATGTGCACTCCCGTGAAAACCTGAAAATTGACAATTTGTATTTCTTGTAAACTGCAAAAACTTCCTTTGGCACTGTAACGTTAATTCTTTTTTCAGCATTTCTGTGTAACTGCCGAGGAGCCTTTCCATAAAATTATTGAATTCAAGAAAACAAAAGTGAACCATGTAATTTTCAAAAATATTTTCTTTTATTACTTTTTCCACAAAGCCGTTCCATATATAAATAAAACTGTAATTATTAACTAGCTATGTCTCCACACATCAGCAAATAGATTAGGCTATTACCCACTATTGATAACATCTGAATTGTAATGTAAACTGATGTACAAAGCACCCACAAATGCGGATTGAAATAATATTCTGAGATAAATCTAAAAAAAAACAAGTCCTTTGCGTTAGAAGTGAATTTTCCTTTCAGACATAAATGCTTCACTTTCCAAACACCACTGCCATACAGTACTACAATTTCTTTCACATTTTGTTGGAGTCACAGGCTGAATTCTGACAAGTGGTAGAATACACTCAAACTGTCACATTTCTCCAAACAATTTTCCCTCAAGTTTGAGGGTAGCAATCTATGATAAATGTTGTATATGTTTTGCTGGAACTTTCACACAGTTTAATATTTGGCCAACATGTAAGTTCCAGCTCCACGGAAGCGCACAGATGCATTGACTAGCACATCTTTTTCAGGTAGTTTATCAAAAAAGTTCAAAATGCAAAAGTCTGTGTACTAGTCGAGTGCTAGTCACTGAAGAATGCATTAAAGTCCTTAGATATCGAGTTCCAAAGTGAACACGTCATGTGCATAATTAACTGTGTAAAAGGTACTAATGCGAGTACCGGCGTGTGAACCAGAATGCATATGTACTCCATTCGTTTGCACTGCACTACCTGGTTCCAAATGACGTCACACTTTGATACTCTCTAATCAGGTACTAATACATGACTGAAATTTGTAAAAATTTGCACATTTTTGGAGAGTTTGTTCCAATTCGCTTAACAGATGCACAAGGTAGAGATTTGGAGCTTGGGTCTGTGCAAATATTTGGGAAAATCTATAAACAGATTAGCATCTTTTCCTACATGTTACCACCAGATTTGTCATGGGTGTTCCTATTGACAAACCATGACAACAATCCACCACACTGTTGGCTGAAAGAGAAAGCCCACGAGTGAAGCGAATTTCTATTTCAAGGACAAAACTTCTAGTTCCAAAGATGCCATTCTTCTTGAAACTCCTGGGCAAACCACCCTGTGACTGCAGCTGGAATTAATTCAAGCCCTTGTGGAAGCCACAAGCTTGAGGCTGTGGCTACTCCCTATAGACACATGCTTTACTTCCAGCTGCAGCCATTCACTTAAGATGCGGCTTTCAGCTTTGCAAGGAACACACTATTTTGAGCACACTGCAAATACCTGGGCTACAGTTTTTTCCAATTTCCTGACAAAGGAAAGTTTCTTTGCTAGTAGGCACTGAAAAAAACCAATAACAGTCCATATAACTACGGAACAGAACAATATAAAATCCTCAAAAATGTTTAAATGTTTGCTGAACCAGGTGCATTGTTTGCCATGTTGAGCACTGTATAAAATCACAGAGACGGACTTAATTTACCCTGCATACCATTGTGTGAAAATGTTGATTTTCTTTAAATGATTTTATTTTACACAAATACATATCAATAACCCAACCAAATACTTTTAATATATAAATGTTTGGTTCTAATCTTTATTGTGTCCTGGAGTTAAATATTTAATTGCCCTTGGCCAAAATAATTTATTGGGCACCGTATTCTCAGTGATTTCCGAGAACCTGTTAAAAAAAAAAGGGAAAGCTTCCTTGGGCGGAAGTCAAACCCACGACCTCCTTCCAAGCAGACTTGCAAATGTATGCTCATAGTGTTATTTACACAAATCAAATTTTTCACAATGGCAGAGAGATAGCTTTAAATACTAATAAAGAAAAGTTCTTAAGGCTGCCTTGCCAACACAACATACACTGTAAGCTTTCAAGCAGTTTACAAATAAATTGAGGTGAATCTCAAAGCTTCAACTCTGAGACCATCTCCCATTTAGTATCACTCAAAGAGCTATAATTAAGCTATGAGTGAGCTCATTTGCCTAGAAAAGTGACGCCTTTTGGACACATCCATCTTGGTCCACAAACCTGTGGGTAACTCCAGTTTTTGTACATGTGCACAGCTATTTGCATATCCGCAGCTGAATTCTAAAAACAATGCGTCATCAAAGCTGCTATCCCCAAAACCAAAATGCGCATTTAGTAAATGAGCATTTTGTTTTACTCTGTGTAAAGAATGCAAACTTATGCGCATGCTCTGCAGATGAAGTTTGCCAAGGCTTTTTAATAAATCACACCACCGATGGAAAATGCACTTATTATTTGCATATGCTGTGCTTGTTACATTCAGAGTACGTTATTGGGAATTTGTTGCATCCTATTTCATGATGTTCTACAAACACAATAATTTAATAGACCTGCATTTGATTTCTCTGCACAGGGAAATGAGCAGTTAGTACTCAAAATTTAATACAGCTCACTGGTATACAACAAACAACGTAGCACACCTGTTCCTGCCATGGATGTACTCAGATGTCCATGCTCGCTCAAAAAGTACCGTGGGTGACACAATACAAAAACAGAAGAATCAGAGTTTTGTAAGACACCCTGACATACCAAATGCCCTGACATACCATACCAAAACTGAAAGAAAGATGATCTGGTTTGGCAACCATGCTTTTTAACAGTTCTCACTTTTGTAAAGTTGCCCGTCCGTACGAAAGAGCGACAACCTTAAGTACTGCAATGTGCACTCAAGTTAATCTTTATACCCTGACAATACATTTCAAAAGAGAAGTGTCACAGGCGTCATTTTAAATCCCTTGTCCTAAGGAGATCCTGTGTTTTTCACACCCCCAAAAATTGAAAACTTAAACTTCTATTGTGTGTCCAATATTTGTAAATGGTCAAAATGCGAAGAAAACATTCAAAGGATTTTATTAAATGTCACACACGAGAAGGAATTCCTGATCTAGAATAAATAGTTGAAATGTATTACTACATGAAAGAAGCCATGGTATATCATACAAATCACAATGGAAACCAAACTTAGAAATTCTCATTACTCTTACTTAGTTTCTCATTTCTAAATATGTCAAATACAAAGTCTGCGAAATAATTCACATTTTCAACCTTTTCAAATATTAATACATGTTAAGGTAAAAACAGTCCACCTCTTTGTAGGTAAACCAACTATAATTATTGCCTTCTGTTGGTCTTCTTTCCAGGCTTAAAATGCCGAGCATCATTTGTATTGGCTATGCTGGAGTAAAAAATGATACTCTACCAAGTCTGTTGATTTTAACACAAAGTTTCAATAAGCTCATCTTACGGGGAAGAGACTTGGAAACAAGGCCTAGCACTTTAGTGAGCCTGTGGCTCTAATTCAGAAGTTTGAGTCTTTCAGCAGAGTGTTCCGTACACTAACGTACTTGAATATAAAGAGATATATTTCAATATTACTTTTGTCCTTGTGAATGAAGTTGAGTTCACTCCCCATTATTTCAAAGGCAAAGAAAAATAAAATCCCCAGATATGGGTATACGTATTTCAGAGTTTTTCATCTTTCTGCAAGAAATATAGAGTCAATATTGCAGTTTACTTCAAAGTACTCTATTGTGTTTCACAAAATGCCTAATGCAATCATATAGCAGAGAAGGGACATATACTTGATTGGTTATCAAATTTGAAACCTTGCGACAAGATTTCTGTCAGGGTCCATGCTCAAAATCAGTTTGTGGAGCATGACTTTTAATGTAGCAAAACAAAATACTGCCCTCTTTCATTAACGCGTGTTAATACAACTACATATCTCACATCGTCAGATACTGACAGTTTTACTTGAAGAAAAAAAAAACACATCTCAAGAGCAAATGCAAAGCTTAGATTTATGGCACGATATTCAGTGAGCAATAAGACCAAAGCCAAAGGTAATATGTCTTTACTAAGTTACATCTGACTTGATCATGGTTTTATGTCTCTTACAAACAAGGGCGGATTCCGCACCAAAATTTAGAAGGGGGAGCAAAATACTTGGACATTTCTTCATGTAACCTGGCCTTTCTGGGAGGGAGAGAGGCTACATTTTGAGACTTTTTACACCCTTTTTGAAAGAATGGAAATGAAACAGACTAAAAAAAGGTTTCCCTTTAATTTTTTTGGCTCTTTTTTTTGGGGGGGGACCAAGGCCCCTGTTTAGCATCCCCTCCCCTGGTTATCCCCTCACTTACAAAAAGGAAACCTGAGACACACTTTTTTTCTCCCTCTTTTTTGAAACTGGGGATCCAATAGGAGTTTAGGAATGAGGATACACTGAGGAATTATTTTCACAAGTTTACAAGTCCAAGAGTCTATGACATTTGTTGAATCATACAACTGCAGAAAGAAACTTCACCAACACATTGTACATGTGTAAAGGGTATGTATTTAGCCAACCCCCCCCCCAAAAAAATCTCTGAAATTTGTCTCACTCAGTCAATGGTACATGTAATGTATTATAATCAGTTGAGCTGAGTCTGCAAAACCTAAATGTATTATTATCAGTTGAGCTGAGTCTGCAAAACCTAAAAAAAATTGGTTCCCTTGAATCACGGTAAATGAAAAGGCTGGGGTAAAAACACCAGGGGTTGAGGCTGATTTCATAAAACACTGAGACGTGTCTTAAGAAGGGTAACTTGTCTAATCTTACAACTCATCGTAGGATCAACTTCACTAAACTTGAGGACGTGTTCAACAAGTCCTAACTTCTTCAGGAATTCTTCCTAACTTAAGATTGGTCTGAGGGTCGTCTTATCTCATCAACACATAATTGTCGAGGTATTGTCCTAGAGCTATACATGTAACAGTTTTGTTGGATGAAAACTAGCCGCAGAAACAGACTTGAAAAGTGTTATCACTTACAATTAGGTAGTTTTAATTAAAGCAAAATGCTAAAAAAAATATAGCGGTACAGGAAATCCTATTCGTCACTTTAAAATGGAATAATCAAAATGATTGGAAGCATACATGAGTCAATTGTTCTGCCACACATTCATATTTTGGCTTTCCCTTTATTTTCAACGACTGTTTTCGTGAAAGGGTACAACGAAACATGAAACCACCATCAAATTTCTAGTAATGACCCATCTTTTTTAAGATGAGTTTGGTGAAATCGATCTTCGAATTTTCTTAGCAAAGATCAATCTTAGAGTTGGCACTCATCTTCAGCCCTAAGATAAGTTGCAAGATAAGATGAGTTTCATGAAATCGGCCCCAGAAATGGTAAGACTATGGCAGAATTTGACTATAAATGTTTATCATCTACTTATTTTGTTGCTTAACATTGTGTTTCAGGGACATTTAAGTATAACTTTTATGGGTATTACAGGAAAAACCTGTAAGAAGTTTGACTATTAATTTCAAGTTTAAATGCAGTGGGGTCCCCAGATGATCCGACCGCTGGGGTAGTGGGCCTTGAGTGCCCGGTACAATTCATCTGAGTGTTCCTGGTCCCGCGTCTCCACCACACACTTAACCTGTTCAAATAAATAAAGTTGGATGCTCAAGGTTTCAATGGAGTCTGCGCACAACTGTACAGGGGCACAATCTATGCCAGTGGGTGATCCGAGGGCAACGGAACCAGCCACTGAGAACAATTATTGGTAAAGATACTCACTATCAAAGATCGTATAGTGCCAAAGGCACAAGATGGATAACTCTGCTCGAAGGGTGTAATTACCATGGGCGCCATTTGAGCAAGCGATACGCCTACGCAGTTTACGGTAATGCATAGGCGCAGGCTAACTAGGTGCACGTGCCTGCCGCGGCGCCTGCACCTTTGCATTAATGTGCATTACGCAGGCGTATCACTTGCTCAAATGGCGCCTGAGCAATTACAACGTTTTACGTGTAATCACTGTGAAGTTCGCCATCTTGCGCCGCTTTGCGGCGCTATACGATCTTTGCTCACTCTCCTCTGAACATTCAACACAAAGCAAAAAACCTGAACTGTATAAGTTGTCAGGGGATATCTGAGTAACAATGTGACTTGACCAGAAAAGGCCTTTTTGAAAAATGTAACTACTCTGAAGAACACTGGTTCAGTACTTTCTTCTGTGGAACTACCAGTGGGCAGCATAAGGTTGGAATGTATTCACCTTTCAAGAAGACACTCACCTGGACATTGAAGATTTCACTCTTCAGAAAAGCCCTCTCATGGAATATATCTTTAATGCTGGAAATAAAAAAATTATCAAGATTTAATAAAGGTTATCGACTGTAATCATATGCAAGCCAAAACAGTCAAAAAGAATATGAGAAAATCTAGTTTGAAAACTTGACAAAGGAAACTGAACACTTGGCACAGAACTTTGAAACCATGAAAACAGTCCTGAAAAATGCCTTCTCAAAGGAAACTAATTCAAAAACTTCACATGCAGCCTTGCAGTGGTGAGCAGGTACATCTATTCCCTTAAAGGAGGTTGTCAAAAATCCCCTTTTTATCTTTGGCTTGACAGCTCCATTTCCTGCTTTATAATCAAGTGGCCTTGGTAAGGCTTGCTCTGCTCATGAGCTGTGACTCTCACCAATGTCAGTAAGCCTTGGGACAACTTGATACTCTGCAATTGTGTTTAACTACTGTATTACTATTGCATTGTGCCACCGTTTTATGACAATTGCTCTGTCGTGGTCTGTCAAGTAAAATGTCGCTGGATTCACCTGTGCAATATTAAATCACAGTTCAAGCAACTTTCCTTCAATTCCCACAGTCAACGTTTGAAACAAATCATAAAGTGCAAAATAACGCCAAAGAGGGAAATGCAGCCAAAATCTGGAGAAAGGCCAGAAATTTGCTCAACCTCACAAACGTGGCCCAGGTTACAGGGCACCCTTTTCTGTTCATGTACGGGGGCCATTACCTGATGCCCATGGAGCTGATGATGGTGGCAAGTTCTGTGATGCCTCCCGGCCTGTCACTGACGGTCACCACAAAGCGAGCAAGGCGGCCGTCTGCAGCCAGGCCTCGCTCCAGCACGCGGCCCAGGACCGTGGTGTCTATGTTTCCCCCGCACAGCGGAATGGCGACCCTAGGAGTGGTTGGAGGGGACAAGAAATGAAGGCTGTCATCAAGTTGCCATTTCTTCAAAAGGTAGGACCAGAGTAGCACATCTCATATGCACTGCTGTAGTCAAGGTTATTCAAAAGGATTACGTACAAAACCAGTCACAAGCAACAGGGCGAACAATGAACACAGGAATGCTTTTGTTGCTGCCATTTGAATGACTTGTAACTTGAATTTAGACTGGACGCTTATGTGTTGTCCTGCGAGGGTCTTGTGGGGTTTCAACACCATTCACATGGCATTCTTTGTGGACCCTCCTTGCAGGTAACACAACAGAAAAGTGAACCACAAATGCCCATGGCATCTAATTAAGAATCAACCAATGTCAAACACAGTAATCATAGGACACATCTTTTGTGCTGAAGCACAAATCACTATGCAAGGAACATAAGCAATGCTGCCAACGTGCACAATGACAGCCAGAAATCACTACAGGCCAGAATGTTACTTCTCTTTCAAATACATAAAGAAACAAATCCAGTTTGCCGAGTAAGTTTTACTACGACACATTGGAGGAAGACCTGTTTGGGCCAAGTTTAGTCAGCGGCCATTTGTCAGCCGCTGACATACATGGTCATCCATTGGAACACTTCCGTGTTTTTCCAACAGCTGACATAACACCCTCAGGGGTGTTAAAATATCATATCCCACATAACAGCAGTCAAGAATTATTGAATGCTGCTCTATGGTGGGCTCGTGTCTGGGTGGTGTACTCACTTCTTGCCCTTGAGTTCTGGCAGCTTGTCCCCAAGGATGGCAGCCACACCAGCAGCTCCAGCCCCCTCCACCACAGCCTTCTCCATCTCGATTAGCCTCAAGATGGCCAAAGCAATTAGGTCCTCACTGTGACCAAGGAAATTTGTTAAAAAATAGATTGGGTAACAAAGGAGGATCCGAGACCAAAATGCCATGGGAAGGAGGGGCAAAACTGGGGGGTGTGGGCAAAAAATTGGCAAATATGTGATGTAAGCTTTTATGGCCTTTCTGAGGGGTGAGGCTATATTTTGGGGCTTTTTACACATTTTTGGAAGGGAAATGAAATAAACTAAAAATTGCATTTCTCTCATTATTTTTCAAATCGAAATAGGGGAGGGAAGCATTGCTCCGTTGGCCCCTCCCCCCACCCCCGATCTGCCAACGGATGAGTAGATAATATAAGATCAACTTGCCCTTTACAGCATGGCTCAGTGATAACCCTGATTTTAGAAAAATGAAAGATCAATTATTGATAAGGCTGAGTTTTCACTTATTTTGATGAGGGCTTTTGGCATAAACAACCTTGAGAATCAAACTTAAATGCTTTAAATGAATACACCAGCCAAAGAGGTGTGCTGTAACATCACCCTGCCCAACAAAGCAAACATGTTGAACTGCTTTGTCTGATTTTAAGAACAAGAAAGATTTGTAAAAACTAAGACCCATTCCAACTTGACTTGAAGGCTTTTTGATTTGAAAGCATCAGAAATGGAACTAAATACTTGCCCTGTCCTGTTGTAAACATTCGGCGTCAACAATTTGGGGGGGGGGAAGGGGACACCTTTTATACTGGAGGTGAACTTGATGTTACTAAACTTTTGTTCATTGAAATTAACCAGAAGTTCCCTCTGACTCAACCTGAATTTCCCTTCACTAGCCAGGCAGTAAAATAACCATCTGAAACCACTCAAACAGGCAGTCAGTGGTGGCACATGGATCAACAGTTACATGTATGCCACCATACTTGGAAAAGAAGCGTATCCCCAGGCAATGAAAGGGTTGACAATTTACTATAAATGGTCATGAAGTCACACAGGAATTTGAAGTTACATGTACATGTACAACTTATCACTATCACAAGTTGGTGTTGTTTGAAGGGGCGGGAGGACAAATTAAAACTCACCTGACAACCACCATCTTATCTACATAGTTCCTGGCCGTGACAAATGCATTCACACCGACTGTTGGCACAGCAAGACCTGAATGCCAACAAAAGATGCAACCCATAACACATACATACATTGTACACTTTAAGGCTGCCCAAGTCACTGGAAACACTGCTACCATGAGAACACGTTCACATCGTCCAGACCATTCTGTAAACCACAGCGCATGTATAGGACATCTTCTTAGGCAGAGCCTTCTCAGGGAATGATGCATGTTTGTGATGAACCCCGGCAACACTAACTGATCTAATAAATCACTTTGCAGGTTGTCTCACCATATGACACACCATGTGTTGATGTTGCATCACAAACCGACCTATCACTTTATACAAAGTCTATCCACTATTACTCTCACTCTAGTATGACCAACATCAACAACACACCTGTAGACATGACCATGCCACATACCCAGTGATTAAAACTAATCACCATCAAATGCACATAATGATGTCAATGGTGAAGTTGAATGTGGACCCATGTGCAAATCAGGCATGCTGACAATGGTATCCACTATTGGTAAATCATTCTGGACATCAATCAAGCCGACTGATGTAAAATCACATTATTGTTGGGTTACTTGACAACACTGAACTCATTTCAATCCATTAACTTATTATATGGGAGGAGCCAGCCCCCCCCCTCCAAAAATGTAACCTTGGACTTACCGTCAGCCAATGAGGGACCGGACCTAGTCCATATGGGATGACCAGCATCCAACGCGGCTGAAAAACTCGGACACTGTTCTGCTTCAACTCCCTAGAAAACAACAGAAATAAATGTCCCATTTAACAAAACATTGCAGCCTTTAAAATCATCTGTTATACTTCTCTTAAAGTAGCACCTGCATTGTGCATACCGGTACATATAAAAGCAATGCTCTTTTAGTTTGCAACATGAGCCAATTTCAAATTTGTGCATTCACTGTCACTGATGGGAAAAACATGAGGTATCATCCTATCAAAATTACACAAAAAAAGAAAAACAAAAACACAAAGAAAAATCCAATTCTGGCTCACCTACCAAACTAGTATAAAATCTGTTCTTAGTAGTGCCTCATAAAATTTATCCTTACCCCTCTTTAAGATAATGACATCACTTCTTTTGTGTACTTACAATGATGGTGGTCCTTGGGGATAGACTTTTCACAGCAAGTGCTATCCCAGCAATGAGACCGGCCCCTCCCACTGGAACAATAACGGCATCCAGGTCAGGGACCTGTTCGACAATCTCTAATCCAGCGGTGCCTTGTCCCGCGATGATATGTGGATTGTCGTACCTGCATTCCAAAAATAAAATGTTAATATGAACAGATCAACATCTGTCAATGTTACTTGTAGGTGAATTTCTGTGTGTTCAATGAACCGGTAACCCTTATCACATACAATGGAACATCACATCAGTTGTGACCCAAATTAACAAAGTCACATCGAAGTGGACAGTGTCACTTTTGATTTGAGGCCTTTAACATGTACATAAAAGAATCTTGCACAACACAAATGTAAATCAACAGGAACCCTTGACATTTCTTGAGCAAATACCCGTCCATTCTCAGGGCGTCGAACTACCGGTAATGATACATCAAAAAACCCGAGTTTACTTTTTCTAACGAAAAATTACACAGAAAACTGGCCTCATGTGCCCAACCCTCTAGTTTGATGTCTGTACATAGAAGAATGGATTGTTGCGGGTTGGTCACAAAAGAGAAACCTACCCATTGATGTACGTCATGCCTTTCCTCTTGCTGAGTCGTAAGGCGTATGTCTTGGACTGCAAAACACAAATATCAAATGATGGAGGTAAAAGCAAAGGACTCCAAATCCAAAGGGAGACATCAGAATTCAAACAGCGATCAAAGTCAATGATGACTTGATGTGGCTGATGTTTGAAGTATCCACATCGAGGGTTGGAATATGCACTTGGTTGGTAGGCAGTGATTCAGGATAGTTGGGAAAGAAAACATTGGCGAAAGCAAATCAAATGGGGAGCAAGTACATGTACATGTATGATATGACAAAAATCGAGAGAAATTACATTATAACATATGTGACTGACTCTAGAAAAATGGGTACTACCCGGTAAGTCACAAGATTCAGGTTAGGAGTTTTTGGTATGGCTGGATTCTGTACATCAAAAGCTACAATTTGATATATGAATGACCCCTGTAGTGTGCTGCATTCCGAGAGATACACAAATTTGTATATCCACATTTTTGGATTAAATAAGAGCACTTTTCGAGAAAAAGCTCATAAATTTTAGCACTTAGAAGCACGATGCTATATAGGATTTCTTACTGACTGATCAATTTTTCATCTTTATTCATCAGTACCTATGTTTTTAGTCACAAATTCTGAAAATAAAAATATTGTAGACACTATTAAAGGAAAAAATACAAAATCATTTTGAAGAAATTTTTCCCTCTCCAACCAGAACAGGCCATTTCATGTTTTGGCATTGCGAGACTTAATACCTTCTTTTGCAGAGCGGGTCACATATTTCTAAATCAAAGCAGTTTTAAAAAGGCATTTGCCAAACTGTTGGTGCAAATCCAGGGGAAAGAAGGACACATCACCTCAACCTGTTTTGTCTTGATGTATACCAATTGCCACAGCCCTCCCAACATGGATTTTATGCCACTCACAAAACAATCTTCTTTCCATTTCCAAAAATCACACTGATGCATTAACATCTCGCCTGACGCAAAGTAAAATCTTCAGAAATAGCTTGCAGTACCCACTGCTTCATCTGACTCAGACTGGCCGGCCAACCCTAGCCAGCTCAATGGTTGGAATGATCAAGACATTTGCACTAGTAAGCAGGAGGTGGTGGAATTGAGTCTCACATGAGTAAGTTCGTAAATCTTTGCAAGCTATAGGAGAACACTGACCATACAGTGTTATAAACACAAGGCAGACTAAGGGCAAAACCCCAAACTAAAAACTTTTTTTCCTACATGTATTTTTCCAAGGCAGGATTATTCTCATTTGTGTAGAGTCCCTCCTGAAGCAGTAGGGACACCAACACTCCCTCTGTGTAAAGCCACATCCTTTGATAACAATATGAACTTGCTTTCACAATACACACTTGAAGATTATCAACTTCATTTCCTCATGCCGTGGACCACAACCCAGGTTTGTGATATCCTAAAAACAACAATGAGCATGGCATCTTTTTTTTTTCCATTTGACATACCTGTTTCGCATCAATCTATCCCACATACCAAAAAAAAACAACAAGTCATCAACCTTCTTGGAAGGAGTATCCAATGTACATGTACTTCCTTCTTCATATCGATTTGAATTACACTGAGCAAACAACAGAATGTGCCCTTGGATAAATTTTGCTGCTTTCAACTCTGCTGTTCTGCATGCCACCAGGGCATTCCTGAAAACACAACCGTGCTGGGTTCTTTGCAACAGATCTTTGGAAATTCCGGAACATGCACAGAAACCAGGGTGAACTCTTTGATGTTTTCTTTACAGAAATTTGCCTTTGTCATCTCAAGCAAAACTATCCAAAGTTTTACCTCTCCATGTTTTTACAGGGATTCTCCAAGTTTTTCCTTTTCTTTGTAATCCAGACTTTACCAATTAACAATTCTTAAAAACTAAAGCTAATCTGGCCCCTATTGAAAAGAGGTCAGCAGCGCACTGTGCCAGGTTTGTGAACAAAAGAAAGTTACATAACACCGCACAATCTGGGCTCTTTTTATAAGGCTGCAGGCCTGGCTGAAATACTCGGGCGTCAATAGATTTGTCTGTCAGAGTAGAATGGCCACCAGACAGTAATTCGTGTGGGTGTAAACGTCCATTAAATGAAATGATGAATTTTTGAAGAATTTTGAAAACTGAAAATCTTGAAAAAGTCCCGATTATGTGCACTGCATTTTTCAAACCACCAGCTAGCAAGTGGTTAAACAACCTAAGGCTAACCACAAAGAGTGTCCTTGGCACATTATATGTATTTGGTACCAGCTTGGGCACCAAACAGAATTTTCTACAACTTTATCTTTACCCAACAGTTGCTCATTCTTCTCCCCCCCCCAAAAAAATGAAAGGCCACACCTACCTCACCAAGGTCCTGCCCATGGATGATCACCGTGGCTCCATTCTGTTTGCACCTGTTGATCTTCATGATTGGAGCAATGATCGGCATGACGACGGTTACTGGGACACCAAGGCTTTGGCCGTGATAGGACAGAGCCAGGGCGTGGTTCCCTGCCGATGCTGCGATCACGCCCTTCAGTCTTTGCTCCTATAAAGTAACAATTTATCAAAATCTAATGAGAGGTGTGTGCAAGCCTTGTGGTACAAGTTTGAAACATTCCTTAAAAAATGTATTAAATGATGTAAATTACACCATAGGGTAATTTGTGACACAATGTGTGGACCTGCAAAAGGCATTACAATTTTTGTGAATATTGCAGAACTTATGCCTATCCAATAAAATGTGTGGACTGGCAAAGTGCATTACAATTTTTGTGAATATCGCAGAACTTA